GAGAGAGAGAGATGAGAGATGAGAGAGAGAGATGAGAGATGAGAGAGAGAGATGAGAGATGAGAGAGAGAGATGAGAGAGAGAGAGATGAGAGAGAGAGATGAGAGAGATGAGAGAGAGAGATGAGAGAGAGAGATGAGAGAGATGAGAGAGATGAGAGAGATGATGAGAGAGAGAGAGAGATGAGAGAGAGAGAGTGAGAGATGAGAGAGATGATGAGAGAGATGATGAGATAGAGAGAGAGAGAGAGATGAGAGAGATGATGAGAGAGATGATGAGAGAGATGATGAGAGAGATGATGAGAGAGAGAGATGAGAGAGATGATGAGAGAGATGATGAGAGAGAGAGAGAGAGAGAGAGATGAGAGAGATAGATGAGAGAGATGATGAGAGAGAGATGATGAGAGAGAGAGATGAGAGAGATGATGAGAGAGAGAGAGAGAGATGAGAGAGATGATGAGAGAGAGATTTTTAAAATCCACAAGCCAATAAATAAATAATTTTCTTTAACCTTTTTAGGTATAATGAGTTTGTTGTTATGTCATGATCACAGAACTGACAGACAGATACATAGTTGCAAAGAATTAGCTATAGAACAGAACGATAGATAAAAAAAATAGATTTACAGATCAATTGATTGATGAATAGAAAAATAGATAACTAGATAGAGGATAGATAGATATTGATACACAATATCCTAATTCTCCCCAACATTACAATTATCAATTGTAATTGATGTGCACTCTTACCTGTGTCGTTCCTTCACAAAGCTTCAAAAGATGCCAAGAGCTGGAGACCAATGTTCACGGCCCCAGCAAATATTTGACAATCCAAAGTGTAGAGCTCACTGTGTCCTCCTCTGTATTTATTAACTGATTTACACACATAGAAACTTCCTGGCATGCCCCTCACAGCAACATTGTGTACCCGCCACCTCCAGCCCCCTTCTAAAGGGACAATGACAATGTTATAAACTGGCCAATGGCTGAATGTAAATGGACCCCTAGGCCTAAGCAGACCGATACAGCCACCCAAAACTCAAGGTGGGCCACTCTCTGGCACCAGTTTTATGAAATGGTGTTCCCAGCTTCACCCACAATGCTGAAGATTTAAAGGAGAACTATGGGGTAAAGTGTTTTTCCCCATAGTTCTTCTAAGGGTGACGGGAGAACATAAACTAGCGTCCTCCCGCTACCCTAAGCTCAGTATATTGCAAGCTACAGCTCACGGTATACTGAGACCGCCGCACCCGGGACGGATCCCGACCTTACTGTCGAGATCCGCCCAGCTGCGTGAGTGACAGCTGGGTCTGCCTATCTAGAGGCAGAGCCAGTTGTACCCGCCCCTCTCCTGTCCATTCCTCCAGTCAGCGCTGGAGGATCGGAGCTCACTTCCTGATCTATTGAGCCCACGTGTGACAGTTTCATTGTCACACGTCGGCTCGAACTATAAGGTTGAGTGAAAAATCACTCACCTCATAGTTCTCCTTTAAATATTTCCCAATTTCTACAAGTATACACGGTTGTTGATTTGATAATGAAAGAGAAGCATTTGTATCGGTCAATGTAGACAACAATAATCCAGATATTTTTGTACTAGTGCAAGTTAGAAAACTGAAATAAACAGATTTCTTAGGCCGGCTTGATGCCATGGCGACCGTTGGCAGTGAGGATGACATCACAATTCTTCTGGCGAGATCCTGGGTGATGCTCCAGCACAGTGCAGGAGTATCTCATCATGAGATTTGGGATCTTTATAAATATCAGGATTCTTGCTAAGAAAGATTGTGCCATCACTCCTTCCTAGGTGCTGCGGGTGGAAGTTTATTAACATATATTTTCTTTTTGCAGCTTTTTACCACCATCAAAGGTCAAATAGATATGAGGGAGGTAGGTCTGATGTATTGAGTGGACTCAGGTGTGGGTCTGCTTTAATTATCAAAAGCATTGATCTCATAGATGCACATACAACACAGTTTAAAGTCTCATTTAAAAAAAATAAAGTTTAACATTAAACATACACTGAGTGGCCGGATTATAATGACCACCTGACGTTTGTAGGCAAATTAGCTATAATTACGGGCTGAAGTTGCTAGAGGGCCAGACCATTATAAATAGGGAAGCAGGTTGTTTACCACGACAGTAGAAGTGATTTGTTTCTGAAGATACGGGGAAACAACGCGATTTAACAGCCTCTGAACGTGGGATGATTGTTGGCGCTCGGAGCCATGGAGCGAGTATCAGCAAAACAGCAGAATTCGTTAATGTGTTCAAGAGGGGCTCATTGTTAAAGTGTTTAAAGACCGGACTGTCAGCCGAAAATCTGGGTCTGAACGTGCGAATTGTGGCCGTCAGCGACTAGTCAATGTTAGGGCAGAACGGGGGAGGGGCAAGACTGGTACAAGACAACTGAAGGGCAACAGTGCCGTGTCAGATTCCTCGCATCACCTTTCACCATCTCGTGGAGTCACCAGGCGGCCCAACGAAGTACTGATGGTCTGGTCATAATAATCTGGCCACTCAGTGTATTTTTCCTGAGCACAGAATATAGGCGCAGTGCTAAAACTTTTTTGGAGCCTATCTTAAAGAGACCCTATTATTAGAGGGGCACTGAAATGAAAATTTCAAAACCGAAACAAAACCAAAATTGTAAAAAATGTCAGGCCGAAACCGAAAGTGTTTTTTTATTCTAACTTTTTCAATTTTTAAAAATATTTTATTTTCATTTACTTTATTTATTTATTTTTATAAATTCTTTATTTTGAGGTTTACTCCTGTGAAAATGCACTTTTTCATTTATTTTTTATAAACTTTTTCAAAAATGTTATATTTATTTTTTATTTATTTATTCATTTTTTATTAAATATTTTTATTTTTTACTATACTTTTAGGGGCTTCGGGGAAATATTAGACTCCTGATATTTCCCCTTTAAAATAGAAAAAGAGATTGAGGACACAGAGTCTTTTTCTGCAGCCCCAGTTATAACAGGAATCCTCTATACTGAGTGTTCCTGTTCATTGATAACATGAGGACAGAGTATGTTTACTATATCCACAATTATGAATGGTCAGGAGGGGATGTAGATCACTTCCCATTCATTCACAACTGAGGAAATAGTAACCATACCACGTCTCCAATTATCTACAAACACTCAGTGATCACTGATCGCTGAGTGTTTGTACCGCTCTCCTTCCTGACAGCTGTCACAAGAGGCGGTGCGGTGCGGGAGGGGAGCAGGACAGGGGCTGCGTATTAATCACACGCAGCATCTGTCCTTCCCGGGAGCTGAGCGATATGGCCGTGCACACAGCACGGAGCTGTACGTGCCGGCCGATTCCCGTGAGCCCTTAGCGTCTGTACCATCCAGCAAACTGTATTTTTTGCTCCAAGCAGTGGCGTAACAATCACCATAGTGACCCAGGTGGCCGCTATGGGGCCCTTGCACAAGGGGGCCCGGCCAGACCACCCCCTGATGCCGTGCCGGCCGCCTGGGTCGCTATGGCTTCGAACGCGCCGCTGTTTAGATCACTGTCAGTGATCTGTGCGGCGCTGCGTTCTTCTCCACAGCCGCGCTGAGTCAATGAGAGCCAGCGGCGGCGGTGGAGGAGGCTGGACCCGGCAGGGGAGGAGGAGGCGGGGCCCGGGGGGACAGCAACAGAGAAGGAGGCAGGGCCAGTGACGGAGCAGGAGGCGGGGCCGGCGACAGAGGAGGGAGCGGGCCTTGCGATGGAGGAGGGAAGACGGAGGAAGAAGAGTCGGACAGGTAAGGAGTGTGACCTGAGGGTGACCCTGCAGAGCCCACCATAGAGAGTCTATGGTGGGCTCTGCAGGGTCACTCTCAGGTGAGCTGTGTGGGATCTCAGGTGGGCTCTTCAAGAGGTGTAACTAGAAATCACAGGGCCCCATACAAAATTTTGCTATGGGGCCGTGAGATTTCTAGTTACGCCCCTGGCTCCAAGGCTTCCCTTTTCCAAAATGGACTTTTCTTTCTGTTGGTGGTATTATAGGGCTTTCATTTTCTTTTAGGGTAGATTGATTTTTATTTTATGTTAATTCGGTTATTACTTTTAATAACACTTTGCCATGTGCCATGTAACTTCTCAAACATGTGGGCAGTGCTGAGAAAGAGGTTCAGTGTTAGGATTTAAATCTACTTCCAATGTATGCTTTAAACTTGCCCTTGGAACACATTGCAGACACTTTGTAAATGCATGGCTGTTTTTAACCGTGAAGGACAAGTTTTGGCCCTCGCACCAGCCTACTGGTTAACCCTTGAAGCTCACCAATCACTGGCTTGTATATCCCGCAAGAACGTGATACAGAGAAAAACACAAAACAGAAATTGTTTGGCACATGCACTTTATTATGTGCAGAATGTTTTTTTTCTTTTGTATGGCAGCTTATATCTGCTTCATCACATTGATTCCCAGCGGCTGGGTTTATTGCTGGGACGGGTCCTTGACCCGACCCATCCAGAGTATGGTTGCAGTGATCTTGTGGTAGACCAGCATGAGGAATGGACGGTCAACTTTTAACTCAGGGTTTGAGTACAGGGAGGTTGTATTGGAAGCAGTAACACCACTTCCCTCTGTTCCTCCTTCTGTGATGCTGGTATAAGACTGGTGGAAAATCTGTCAGAACAAATAGGTAAAGGAAAGAACTTAATCAAAAAGTTAAAAGATTGCATATATATATATACATATACGTTTTATAAATAAAAATTGAAGCCTGTGATACACTGCGCACACGGAGCCACGCGCAGCAAAGGAAAGAGGCGGTGCGTGGAGCTTTGCATGCAGGGTGTCCATCAATATCCTTTCCCATGCTCAGCTAGGCAAGAGCTGAGCGTGGCGAGATGAAAAATGTCATCTCTAGCCAATCGGCTCACACGTAAGAATCTGACATCAGGATACGGATTCAAGTGTGCTAAAGATAGATAGAGAGAGAGAGAGAGAGAGAGAGAGAGAGAGGGAGAGGGAGAGATACTTTTTTATTTAGTTTTACAAAACGTATGCCTTACGCTTTCCCTGCGTAAGGCATACGGCGGAACACAATTGTTCCCAGCTGGCCAGGTCAGTACGCCCTACGGAAGGAGATGAGACTGTTGTGAGATCCTCGTAGTAGCAATTGTTGTTACATTTGTTTACTCATTCCCTCCAGTGTTCTCTAGAATTGTTACATTGTATCTATTGTTACTAACATGTATTTATTCACTGCCAACTTCAAGTATCTCACCAAAAGGTAAAATACTGCAGCAAAACAAAAGGATCTTGCAGGGAATGTCTGAAATGTTGAGCTCAAGTTATTATTATATTATTATTATACAGGATTTATATAGCGCCAACAGTATGCGCAGCGCTTTACAATAAGTTCTGTGCAGACTTCAGGGAAATGCAGAGACCTAATCACACAATATATATTCATTCATATATACTCTATATGGCCACATTGCTAATAGAAAGATGAGCACACTGCATGGATGGGGGTGGGTCAATCCACCCCATTTTTGTTTTTTCAACTTCCTGCTAGGTCTCATTTTCTTCTGGCCTCTGGTGGTGGAAGGCCTGCACTCAAATTCCCAGGTCTACACACCTGCTGCAACCATTATGCCAGATGATACGACACATGCAGGATAAACCAACTTGCAGCTTACACAGGGCTGAGGACTCTTTCCTCCGCATGTGACAATACTGGGTGCCTGATTTGCCAATCATCAAGCTCCAGCATTGTCATGTGAAAGAAAGGGGGTGAGTCCCATGCTTTCCAATATCCCAAATAACCAGGCATTTCTGTTTGCTCTTAGGTGCCAAATGGGGTGTTTGGGTAGCAAAAGAATGGTGATGTGCTGGTGGTGGGGGTCATCCTTAAAGTGAATCTGGTACTTTGCCCTGCATGGACAAAACACTGGTTCACTGTAATGTTTATTTTTGCTTTTCTTCCACTGTATTATAGAAGAGCCAAGCTAGCATATTTAAATAATATTACGTTATTTATTTGCTTGTTATTTATAAAGAAGACTTTAACTCAAAGTAAAGTAAAGATTTACTATTTTATAGGAAGAAATGTTAATTGCACCTAAGCAGTATCCTTATGTATTTACCGTTCATCTTGAATGCCTTCTAAAAAAATGGCTGTGCTTGTTCTGTAGCCTTATATCTGCAGCGGGAGACCATCTAAGGAACTACTGACTCTGGCTGGTGATCACCATAGTTTTGGAGCCGCATTTGGTGATGTCATTACTGTCTTTCTCACTGTTCTCCTTGCTGGAGAGGAAGCTGTTCCTGGTGATCCGCAATGCAAGGTTCTCTCTGGTCCTGTTTCAATAATTCTTTGGATCTGTGCTTCCTTTACCTCTCCTGCTGCTTCTTCATTATTACCCCACCAGTCATTAGACCACCAGTCATCAGAAGGGGCATCTATGGCATAATGGAAGCAAAGCCCTGCCTCTACCAAGATGGTCGCCTCCACACAGAGACACAGTGCAGGACAAGGTATGGTAAGTCAGAAATGGAGGACAGATCAGCTACAGGGAGACCTCTGGGAATACTGGTCATTTGCCTCCTGCTGGTCTATTTTGGGAAGAGCTTCCACCGTAAGGGTCCTCTTTACATGCAATGGCCCTCAGCACACACACACAGAGGATGGTGTCCTAAGGAGGCTTTTTATCATATTAGGGGTACAGAACTGTTGTGCAACCAAACACTGAATCAAAAGACAAAGGAAAGATACTTACATCTGAAACTCGCAGCCTTGATTTATTTGACATTCTGGAGAAGTCGGCGTTGTCACCACTGAACATGCTTCCGATGCCCATTGTTAAGATGGCATTTCTTATTTTGAGCGGGATGTTGAAGGACACTTTGGGTATGTACAGGTCCACGGTACTGTGGAGGGAAATACACATCAGTGTCTGTATTAACAACACCAACTACGGTATCTCAGCGAGGGAAATGTAGTGCGCAAGCTACAGCAATCCCTATCAACCAATAAGAATTTGACTTATCTGATTGTATTCTAAGTGTTAAAGCTGGCAAGCAGAGATACCTACAGAGGTGAGAGCGGTTTTGCCTGCCAAAGTGTTTGTATTTATGTCGATCCAGTACTGAGATTTACACAGTTCCGTCACACAGCTCAGCTCTAGCTTTGGCAATGCAGAAGACCTGATTTTTCTGCAGTTTGACACATCTCCCCAATCAATAGGGTACATATTAGACTACTGCAGAGAGACCACTGCTTCTACACGGAGAGTGAGGGTCCGTCCCTGCTCCATGCTGGCACAAGACATGCTTTTTTGCTGTCACTTTTCAAGTGTAAACAATGTAAGGGAACTGTAGTTATTCCCACCTCGTGTTCATCTCCAGTGTCGTCACAAGGGGGGTGCGGGTGGTGCGGCCCGCACCCGGGTGCCACCATTGGAGGGGTGACACCAAAATGACTGACAGTGCGTCACTGACAGTCATTTTGGTGTCACCCCCCTCTAAAAAGTTGGGCACTCTGTCATGGGCCGAGAGCCCGGCAGTGTCAGGACAGAGGAGGGGACCCGGCGGCATACCTCATCCCGTCGGGTGAACATCGCCTCCTCTCTCTGCCGACATCCATCACCAAGATAGCCGCCAGCAGGCGTCAATTAGGCAGTTGCTCATGTGCGATGAGCAGGGGGGGTGTCACCCGGTCTCCGCTCCGGGTGACACCAGGCCTCGGGACGCCCCTGTTCACCTCCTCGAGTAAATCAAACCCATTGTGACAAAACACCAAAGGCTTGCAGTGCATCACGAGAGTTGAGATGCGAGTGGCCACATACAGGAATACAAACTCTGACTCCATTTAGATTGTTTCACAGAAAATATAATAATGATGAGCTCGTACTTTTTTCAGAAACAAACTTTTCTTTTTTCCCCCAAAGCGGAAGAGTTTTATGTAGGAAATAGGAATTGAACAGTCCAGCAAAAGTAACAAAAAGAAAGAAGCTTTCACTGCAATCTCCACCTTTGTTGCAGAAATGCCCCCCCGCCAAAAAAAATGTCACTGTGCCACTAGATGTCACCAGTCTTCTGGTTTGAATGAGAACTACCCACTCATTCTAAGCCCAGAGTGTCCTGGTCCCGCCCCATAGGGGTTTGTCATTATGCCATCCAGGGCTCAGAGTGCTCATGCAGTGACAGGCACACGTTATTGTGCATTAAAATTGGAGTTTCCATTGTTAACAAATCTCATGCATTGGGTGTTGGATGTCACACCACTTCCCCAAACTCCACCTGACCAAAACTGAGCTTATAATATTTCCTCCTCTCTGTGTCCCCCTACCCCGCTTCTCCATCACAATCAACAGTACAACAACCAACCCCTCGGCTCAAGCCAGGGTGCTCGGTGTAATCCTTGATTCTGAACTCTCCTTTCAGCCCCACATCCAATCACTATCCCAATCTTGCGGACTTAACCTTCATTTCCAAAATTCTCGCCTTTTTAACAAATGACACCAGAAAGCTTCTAATTCATTTCCTTGTAATCTCTTGAATTGATTATTGCAACTCCCTCCTTGGCCTAACTATACCCAGGCTCCTCCCCCCCTTCAGTTTATCATGAATGCTGCTGCACGACTCATCCACCTTACCAACCCATTCAGTGTCTGCCACCCCTCTCCACCAATCCCTCCACTGGCTTCCACTTGCCAATAAATAAAATTCAGAATACTAAAAAACACTCACAAAGCCATCTACAACTCTGCCCCGGCTAGATCTCCAACGTCATCTCAAAATATCATCCAAACCGTCCTCTCCGCTCCTCTTAAAGGAGAACTATGAGGTTAGTGATTTTCATTCAGCCTCATAACCAGAGCCGACCTGTGACAATGAAACTGTCACAGGTCGGCTGAGTAGATCGCGAAGTGAGCGAACACACTCACTCACCTCTCGATCTATCCCTGCAGAGAGTGGTGACTGTCACTCATGGCTCCCTGCAGGGATTCCCCCCCTCCCCTGTCCGATCCTCCAGTGCTGACTGGCGGAACGGACGGGGGAGGGCACAGCTGGCTCTGCCTCTGGATAGGCAGAGTCAGCTGTCAATCACGCAGCTGGGTGGATCTCGACAGCAATGTCGGGATCCGTCCCGGCTGCGGCGTCTCAGTATACCGCGAGCTGTAGCTTCCTATATACTGAGCTTTGGGTGACGGGAGGACGCTAGTTTGTGTTCTCCTGTGACCCTTAGGAGAACTATGGGGAAAAGCACTGACCCCATAGTTCTCCTTTAAGACCTCCTGCTCTCCAGCTCTCTCGTCACCTCCTCACCTCCGAGATTTCTATAGTGTCTCCCATCCTCTGGAACTTTTGGCGATCCTAAATCTCTTCATCTCTTCAGGGAAGCTGATCCCACCTCAATATAACAACTGTCCTTTTACTTCTTCCATCAGCTCATCCCACACAATTATTACCTTTTGTATCACTTGCCCCTCCTACTAGATTGCAAGCTCTTACGGGCAGGGCCCTTCTAACCCTCCTGTATTGAAATTGTATTGTAACTGTACTGTTTCCCTTATTCTGTGCAAACTGTTGGCTCTATATAAATCCTATATTATAATAATAATAATAATAATAATAATAATAATAATATATACCTGGTTCTCATTGAACAGAAGTATTTTTTTATCCTTTCGGTGCTCAGTTTCCGTTCCACCTTCTGGAGATCACCGGGTTTTGGTACGATGAGGAGAAGGGTTATGTTACTGGTATAAGGCACTTCCACCACATTACATCTCATCTCTTTGTCCTTGTACGTTTTATATGTTCCTTGTTGGTGCATCATTGGAACTGTGACTGGAGCCTGCCCATCCACCCTGAAGTTGTCCTCTTCTGTACCTTGTGGGTTAAATTCTTTTTGCCATTTCGCTGGAAGAACAAAGAAATGTTTCCTTTAAACTCCTATGGTTTGAGTTCAATTGCTTTCTTTATATTTTACATTTTCAAGATCTTGTTTTATATACTTTTTGTTACTGTTTATATAACATATTTATATTACAAATAAGCATTTAATCCCTTCGTGACGGGAGACGTACACTGTACGTCCCGCCACGAAGTTCCTAAATGACTGGCCAGGTACACTGTATGTGACCAGTTATTTGCAGCTCTGTAATGCTGGTAACAGCTGATTCTCAGCGGTTACCATTCATTAAAGGAGAATTATGAGGTGAGTGATTTTCACTCAGTCTCATAATCTGAGCCGACCTGTGACATTGAAACTGTCACAGGTCGGCTCAGTAGATGGGGAAGTGAGCGAACACGTACCGTCGCTCACTCACTTCTCGATCCATCCCTGCAGAGAGCGGGGACTGTCACTCACGGCTCCCTGCAGGGATTCCCCCCCTCCCCTGTCCTATTCTCCAGCGCTGACTGGAGAACCGGATGGGGGAGGGGGCGGGCACAGCTGGCACTGCCTCTGGAGAGGCAGAGCCAGCTGTCCATCCCGCAGCGGGATGGATCCAGACAGTATTGTTCAGTATTGTTCGTTGCGACTACCACAGAAAACCATATACAGATATTAACACTAAAGCTGAATCTCCTAGACCCGAATAGCATTCGAGAGCTCCAGAATGAAATTCGGATCTGGAAGCCTCGGCTTTAGTAATATAGGTATATGGCTCCCAGACCCAAATGGCATTCGGGTTCCGAGTTTCTGAATTGCATTGGGGAGCTGCTGAATGCCACTCGGGTCTGGGAGACTCAGCTTTAGTTATATATGTATATGGCTCCCAGACCTGAATAGCATTCCAGTTACGGATTTCTGAAGTGCATTTGGGAGCTCCTGAATGCCATTCGAGTCTGGGAGCCATATACAGTACATATATAACTAAAGCTGAGGCTCCTAGACCCGAGTGGCATTCAGGAGCTCCCAAATGCAATTCAGAAACTCGGAACCCTAATGCCATTTGGGGATCTGGGAGCCATATACCTGTATTACTAAAGCTGAGACTTCCAGATCGATGGCCTCAGCGGTTAGTTTGTAAACTTTTTGTGATTGGACATTTTGGAATAATGGCACTTTGCCATTGCTCCAAGCCATCCACAGAGCTCACGCCTCTAACATAGAGTAAAGACTGTGACAGCTCCTGCCTCATTAGTTAGGTTACACAAGCAGTGGGGAAGCCCGCTGCTGTGTGACCTAACTACCTGGCAAAAGTCGGATTATTAAGTAAATAACAGGGAGCGCTCTGTGTATGACAGGTTACAAAGCGGGGAGGATTTCCCTGCTGTGTAACCTGCTAGAAGCCTATCTTAATGAATAAAAAGCTGTCAGCTTCAGACTTGAAGCTGACAGCTTTTTCCTCCATAATACTAGGTGAGGCTCTGCCTGACCTGCCTCCCGTGACCACACGTCCCTGATCTGCAGTTTTGTAACATCTGTTACTGCAAAATCTATTTTCTGTAGTCAACAATAAAATAGTTCTTACCTTGAAAGACTGAATAATCTAGGAGAACCATCAGTATTTTGGGATCTAAATTTTTTACCATATTCTGTATCTTATTGTGGGTTCTGTTGCTCACAAGCGTATTGATTATTTTCTCAGCACCCTGAGGGTCACTGAAGTTGATGGTTTCAACGGAGACGTTGTAATAGTAAGACACATTCTGTTGGAACTGCGGGAAAATATCTGCTGATCTGTCGATGAAGATCTCATTACCGAGCTTGAATTCCACCTCCTTGATTTGCTGAGTTACCCTTTGAAGGAACTGTCTAAAGCATTCATGCAGCTCCTGGTTGGTTTTGGTGTCGTTCAGGCCCATGGCTTGCAGAATTTCCATGCGAGTTGTTGATTGGGCCCCGAGAGCCAGCATGGAGAGGGTGGTATAGATGCTGAGTGGTGAAAAAAATAGGTTTGGCGGGGCTCCTGCTGATCGCATTGAAACAAACTTATAAAACTGGACAGCAAAGTTCATATAAGCTTCAGATACCTCTGACTTTTGCCATTCAGGGTAATGGTTGCAGTTGTTTCCTCGGTTCCATATAAAAGAGCCAGTCACAAGGATCAGCGAGATGAACAAATGGAGGAAAAAAAGAATCTTCATCTTTCTCACCTGTTTCACAGCTGTGTAAAAAAGAAATAAATTTTTTAGAGTAATTCAACAGTGAACTGTTAAAGGGATCCTTTGGACTTCTTGCCAGTTATCCTCTCATGGTATAAAAAGGTCCCCTCATAGGCGTGCGCACCGGGTGTGCCTGGGCGCCTGTGGCAGCCCTCTCAGAGATTGCACAGGCAGCCAGCGGGGTGCGCTTCGGGGACGCACCCTGGTACCAGGGTATGCACTTCCATCCATCCCGCTCAGCTCTCCAGATGGCCGTTTAACTAGAGTGTGAGTAGGGTCTCTCTCTCTCTCCCTCAGCTATAGAGAACTACATTGCTGTATAATGTATTGCTGGGATTTGTAGTCCTCTATAGCTGACCATAATATTCTGCATTGCTGTATAATGTATTGCTGAGATTTGTAGTCCTCTATAGCTGATGGTATTATTCTGCATTGCTGTATAATCTATTGCTGGGATTTGTAGTTCTCTATAGTTAATTGTATTATTATGCATTGCTGTTTAATGTATTGCCGAGATTTGTAGCCCTCTATAGTTGATTGTATTATTCTGCATTGCTGTATAATGTATTGCCGAGATTTGTAGTCCTCTATAGCTGATGGTATTATTCTGCATTGCTGTATAATGTATTGCTGAGATTTGTAGTCCTCTATAGTTGATTGTATTATTCTGCATGGCTGTATAATGTATTGCCGAGATTTGTAGTCCTATATAGCTGATGGTATTTTGCATTGCTGTATAATGTAATGCTGAAAGTCCCTCTACAGCTTGCGTTTGCAGTCATCTTCCGATGATCATCTGTCCGCCCCTCATTGTAGTCAGTGGAAGTGGAAGTGGAAGTGCAGTCAGTGGAAGCCCGCCCCTCTTGGGGGCGGGCTTGTAGATGATCGCAAGTACGATCTGCCTGTCCAAGATGGGCAGATCGTATGTTTTTTTAAATTACTTTACAACCCTTGCAAGACAAAAGATGTATCCAATAAAAAAAATGAAAGGAGCAAATAGCAAAGGGCAGTAAGGTGAAGGCACCCAATCTGCCTTCACCTCACTAAACCTAGACCAGCACACGATGGGTTGGTTGCCTTCACATCTAGCACTTTGCTGCTTCCACTGTTTTATTAACTGAGCCCAAAATAGTAATGTTAACCTGCAATATTTCAGGCTTTGAGGAGCTGAAAACCCCAGCATGCCCTGGCAGACAACAAAATATTAATGTTTCTCTAGACATTGAGCCATTGAGCACAACTTTATCCAAATCTATCTATCTATCTATCTATCTATCTATCTATCTATCTATCTATCTATCTATCTATCTATCTATCTATCTATCTATCTATCTATCTATCTATCTACTGGTCATGGAGGGATTTTTATTATTGCTTTGTATAAATTCTCAAGATAAGTATAAAATTACATTGTGGTTATGGTCTCTATTAGACATGTAAGCTGCGGAAAAATTTGGTTCGGATATTTTGGGATATGGAATTCGGAACTGAAATTCGATTCGGCTTCGAATTTTCTTTAGTTTCGGATGAGTTTACAAATATTCGTTGCGAATACCACAGAAAACCATATACATATATTAATAATAAACCTGAGGCTCCCAGACCCGAATGGCATTCGGGAGTCCAACAAATTTCTGAATACCATTCGGGAGCTCCCGAAAGCAATACTGGTCTTGTAGCCATATTAAAGCTGAGGCTTCCAGACCCGAATGGTATTCGGGAGCTCTCGAATGCTATTTGGAAATTCGGACTCCATTTGGGTCTTGGAGCCTCAGTTTTAGTTTTATGTATATACAGGTGAAACTCGAATAATTAGAATATTGTGCAAAGTTTATTTATTGCACTAATGCAACTTTAAAGGTGAAACTAATATATGAGAGAGACTCATTACATGCAAAGCAAGATAATTCAAGCCGTGAATTGTCATCATTGTGATGATTATGGCTTACAGCTCATGAAAACCCCAAGAACCCCAAATCCACAACCTCAAAAAAGTAGATTATTACATGCAATCAATAAAACAAGGATTGTACATAGAACAATATCGGACCTCTGAAAAGTACAAGCATGCATATGTACTCAGTACTTGGTTCGGGCCCCTTTTGCAGCACTTACTGCAATTACTTTTGCACGATATTCTAATTATTCGAGTTTCACCTGTACATAAGTAGTATTCTATAATATGAACGAATATGCGTAGCGGCAACATTGTGACCCGTATATACATACAACTAAACCTGAGGCTCCCAGACCCGAATGGCATTCAGGAGATCCCGAATGCAATTCGAAAAATGAAGAAACAGAGGAACAGGCAAAGAATAGGAGTTGGACAGCAAAGAAAAAGGGACCCTCGTCTAGGAACAGGAGACATCTCACCTGTTATACCTTTTCAGAGCAGTGCCCTGTAGTCAGAAGAGTCAGCAAACACGTCCCAGTACAATCACGTTTGAGAAAAGGCTTCTGTTCAATCTCTTAAAGATGCGGTCAGATGTTCCATCTCCCTTAGATTTGTACGAATTTTGATTTGGAATGAAACAAATTGCACATGTCCAGTCTCTATCCAGTGTATGGACTTGCACTATTGGACAACATGACCATACATGTCTTTGGAAAACAAAATCTATCTCTCTATCTATCTATCAAAATAAAAATGAAAGTACAAATAGTATAATCTACCGTTAGAGCTGCGCTTACCTGTCCTCTGCAAAAACACAAATCTCTGCGAGTCTGGCACTTATATTGCCCATGAAAAGGTTTGCTAATCAGATGCATTACCAGGTCACAATGACCTGACCCAACAACAAGGACTGAGACTCTGGACAGTATTAAACATTACCATAGACACAGTGAGGGGTTTGTGAGTGCGCCAATCCCCTGTAAAGGAAACCGGTCATGAGACAGATACAGAGTTTTGCCCCTTGAAATAGACAATTTCCTATAGGATTGGTTAGACTGATGAGCACCGGGGATCCCTCAGGAACTGATAAACATTTATGATCTTAAAGGAGAACTATGGGGTCAGGGCTTTTCCCCATAGTTCTCCTTAGGGTAACGGGAGGACACAAACTAGCGTCCTCCCATTACCCTAAGCTCAGTATACCGCGAGCTACAGCTCGCGGTATACTGAGACGCCGCAGCCGGTGCAGATCTCGACATCGATGTCGAGATCCGCCCAGCTGCGTGAGTGACAGCTGGCTCTGCCTATCTAGAGGCAGAGCCAGCTGTACCCGCCCCCTCCCCCGTCCATTCCACCAGTCAGCGCTGGCGGATCGGAGCGGGGAGGGGGGAATCCAGCAGAAAGCCGTGACAGGATCGAGAGGTGAGCGAACGCCGGTATGTGTTCGCTCACCTCCCGATCTACTGAGCCGACCTGTGACAGTCTAATTGTCGCAGGTCGGCTAGAACTATGAGGTGAGTGAAAACCTCTCACCTCCACCTCATAGTTCTCCTTTAACACTTAAATGATGAATACCTGTGACTCCTCACCCCACTAATGATGACCACATATGAAGTCACTGCCACGACTTATAACCACCTGTAACTACCCTTCCCACCAATGATGAACACCTGTGAAACCGCTCCCGACTACTGATAACCATCTGTAAATTCCCTATTCACTAATGACAACCACCTGTGTGTCCCTTACCATCAATGATGAGAACTAAAGGTGCCCATACACGGTACGATTATCGTACGATAATCGCGGGAAATCCCACGATCGTACAATAATCGCAAAGTGTATGGAAGGCGTGCGACCGTTTCTACTGTACCATCGCACGTCTTCCGTCGAACAAGCAGGCTGGAAAACCCGCCGGGAATCTTATGATTCTCTGCGAGTTAGTGGCATGCCGCTCGACAACTGCCGCACGGGCCGGTGTGCGCACACTGCCCGTTCAGCATTGCAGTCATGGGAAGCCCGCCCCTCAGCGGGGTGAGCTTGCGATGATCGCAAGTACGATCTGCCTGTCCAAGATGGTTTTTTAAAATTACTTTACAACCCTCGCAAGACAAAGACTCATCTCTTCAGGAAACCTATCCCACTATCACGTTCTCAAACAATTCATCCCCACGCAGCTCCTTCCTCATGTATCACTTCCCCCTCCCTTTTAGATTGTAAGCCCTCAGGGGCAGGGCCCTCCTTACCATCTTGTCTTGAATTGTATTGTGATTGTAATGTCTGCCCTATATTGTAAAGCGCTGCGCAAACTGTTGGCGCTATATAAATCCTGTATAAAAAATAATAATAATAATGGTCTTGTGAGGGTTGTAAAGTGTATGGCCACCTTAAGACCCCATTCACACTGAGCGTTTTGCAGCGCGATTTCCACTCAAAAATCAGCCAAATATGAAGCTCAATGCAGCTCTTCCAATCAGGACCGATTTACTCTCCCTGCTGCCCCAAGGCCAGGTTCCGCAATGCCCACCCCTCTCCGCCACCCCCCCACCCCCACTTGACATCGCCAAGATCACTTGTAAAAACAAACAAGTGGTTTCCCCGCTCTACATTTAGTCCGGCTTGTGCAAAGCAGGGCTAAATGTAAAAAACAAATTACTACCAGGCGCCCCCCGGAACTCCATGTTCCAGGCGTCGGGAGACTTCAAACTTGTGCCACCCCTCTCCTCCCTGCCGCCCCAAGGCCGGGCCTCGGTGGCCTTGTCGGGAATCCGGCCCTGCTTCCAATGCATTTCAATGGAGATGTTCATATCTTGCAGTTCAATGTGGCCTGTAGCTTGCAGCTGAAGCTTGTCGGTCGAACATGAGCTATTTTTCGGCAGATTTAAAGCAATTTGGCCCCAATAGACTTTGATAAACTGCCAAAGAAGCGCTACCTAGCGCGACAAAAACTTGAAAAGCTTTTACTGCTCATCAGTTTAGTGTTATCAGTGATTGATGGGCCTAGAATTATTGCTCTCACTGCGACGTTCGTGGCGATATTGTTGTTTTCGCACGTAAACAACACGTGTTGGTATGTGTGGCGTAATTGTTGTTTTCGCACGTAGGCGCACCGGAAGCGTATTTACTTTTATAAGTGCATGCACACGGTGGCGGGGAACATAAAACGTTTTTGGGTGTTTTTTTTTTAATTTTAATATGAAACTTTCATTTTTTTTTTTACTTTTTTTTTCCTGCTTCACCAGCTTCTCACCAGAGAAATGACAGCTAAAGGTGGAAGTGATGTAATACACATCGCTTCCGCCTTTAGAGAGAACGGAGGAGAGATCAGCGGTGGGAAATGTGGATCTCTCCTCTGTTCTCTGTACGGACAGCTGCCGTGCCGGTCCTGGGCTCGCAGGGGGGACAGCGGAGCCCGGGATAACC